GGTCAGCCCAGTCCAGCCAGAGGCAGATGGGGACAGCTGGGGCCAGCTCAGCAGCCCCCCTCCTCACACACACACAAATCCCTGGGCTGACCTCAGGAGACGCACTTTACCAGCGATTTCCATGGGGGGCTCAGTGGGGACCTCCCTGTCTGTCCCTCAAGGGGACTGGTCCTGGAGCTGGCAGGACCTGTCTGCCCAGCTGGGACATGGCCTGCTCTGGGGAGGAGCTTCTGCTGCATCCAGAGGGAATGCAGAATGCAGGGGCTGGGAAGTAGCCTGAAGCTGTCACCATGAACAGGACATTTTATCTGAAAGTAAAAACATTTTTTTAAATGTTTTTGAAAAAAAATGAAAACATTTTAATTCGGTTGTTGCATTCCACTCCCTAATGTGGCCAGGTTTTGTTTTTGTTTTTATTTTTGCGGCTGGCCAGAACTGGGATCCAAACCCATGACCTCGGTGTCATAACACTGTGCTCTAACCAACTGAGCTAACCAGCCACCCCCCGTTTGTTTTAATATTAAAATATTGGTTTTGTTATTTACCATTGAGTAAATTGATATTCTGGGTGGAGTCACCAAAGCCATCCTGAGGTCTCACATGCCCCCATTTACACCACTAACCCTCAGCAGCGGGGCCAGCACCACAGTAAGGGGCCTGGCAGCCCCCACCCCACCCTCTCCACTCAGGTACAACTTCTGAGGCCACCATTTGCACTGTATTCTGTGAAAATGGAGCCCCTGGAGCTGTACAATCCAGTGGCCCTGGTGGAAAGGCCACTAGACTAGGAGTTGGGAAATGTGGCTTCTGTCTGTCATTTGCCACTGTCTGCCATTGTGGCCTTGGGCTAGCGCCTCCCCTCTCTGTGGCAAATGGAAGCAATGCACACTGTCACACTGTGACTCAGGTGGCAGGAATTTCAGGCAAGGTATGAAGGAGCAGGGGCTTGAACTCCTCAAATCACAGATGGCAGGTGGGTGGTGCCCCTACACCTACTGAGTCATGCCTCCCACTGTGTTCCAGTGTGATGTGTGCAGCCTCTGCATCCTGAAGGACACAACACCCACAGGGACCTCTGCTTCCACTGGCGTGGGCTGGCGCCAACCTGCAAGCCTTCTCCAGGGGCTGCCTTGTCCTCTGGGGGCTGCCAGCTCTGCACGTGAAGCCCACGCCACAGCAGCCCTGGGGTCCTGGCAGCCCAGAAGGGTGGTGAAGGGGCAGCACATCGCTGTCCAGCTTGGGGCAGCAGAGCAGGGAATGATCTGAGCAGACCCCAACCCCTGGCCACCGCCTACCCCAGGGCTGGGGGCATCCCAAGCCAGACCTTTCCAGCCAGTGCTGAATTATCCCCTGGAAGCAGGGCTTCCCCTCCTACCTTCCCACACACCTGCCGGCTTTCTCTGCAATATGCAAATAAGGTCCCAGCCCCCGCTGCTCTGAGGCTGCTGTGGCCCACCCCAGCCCCACCCCATCCAGTGGAGGAGCCAGAACAACTAAACCCAATCTCACCAACCGCAGCTGATGAAGGAGAGACATTGTCTGGGTCCCCTTACAGCTCAGTTTCTCTTCCCACCCCCCCGGCCCCAATGCAGAAGTGGCTGAAATCCTGACATTGGTTTGGTTTTGTTTAGCAAACAAGGAACATGCAAAGCAGCTCCTGATCCGTGTGTGTGTGTGTGTGTGTGTGTGTGTGTGCACGCCCCCACGCCCAGCACCCAATTTACACGTTCCCCTGATCTGGCAGATGCAGGGAAAGGCCCCTCACCAGGGGCCACTTCAGGCCTGGCCCTGGAAGTGTGGCTCTGGGCAAGTCACATCCCATGTCTGGGCTTCACTGTCCCCATGGACAGGAAGAGGGATGGGAGCAGGTGGCCTCTCTCATGGCAGCTCTGCTGCTCTGGCCACTAGAATCCCTCCTCCCGTGACTTCCAGAGACTGGCCCTGCAGGCCACCAACAGGGAGGCTGCTGAGGCCAGACCACCCTCCTGTGCAAATCACCAGCCCACCCTGCACACCTGAGAGGTTTCTTTAGGGGAATTCTGGCTTGTAAACAGGAAGAGCCTCCAGACTAGTGTATTGTCAGGGTCCTGCCCAGTCAAACCCAAGCCTGGGGAGGGGGCAGGATTTGCCATTCCCCATGGGGGCTTTAGACCCCCAAACCCTGGAGTCTCACAGCAGAGGAGAGAACTAAAGGAAACACCTACAGGTCTCAGTGGGCGTAAGGGTGAACGGAGGCTCTGAGAAGAAGACAGCAAAACTTGGATCAGGTCCTGATCCCAACTCTGACTTGATTGCTGTGTGACCTTGGGCAAGTCTACTGACATTTCTCTTTTTCTGATTTCCAAATCAAATGTTAGGAAATAACGAATACCCAAATCCTCCTCTTGGAGATGGACGTGTGCATTTTATATATTATCTACTCTAAGAAGCCGTGCAGCGAAGGATTCCACTTAACTTTAACTTAGAGTTTCCCAAGGTTATTTGATCCATGTGCCCTATGTCCCTTTAAAGCATACTACCCTCTTCAGGCCTGTGGAGCTCTGGGGAACCCTGGAACTGGCCTGTGGCATGTCCAGCCACCTCTGTGGTCCTCTGTGACTGCAAATCTGGAGGACTGATTTGCAGGAGGGACCAGACGACTCGTGCAAACAGCTCCTAGTTCACCATATTTGAGCTGTCTGCAGCTGATGGGGATGGGACATGTCACCCTTTGTCATTCCACCACAGTTTGAGCCTCGCAAAGTTGCCATGTGCTCAAACACACTTTAAACAAGTTGGTTCATGAACCCAAGGTTCCATCTCATTATAAAGAGGAATCATCCCGATGACAACAATGGAATAGCTTTTGAAAATATCCTTCTTTCTCTGGGAAAGGGTGGGCACTATTGTCTATGTTCCCTACAGCTGACCCCTCTGAGCCTCAGTTGCCCCATCAGTAAAGTGGGATAATATCACCTCCCTTACAGAGGGTTGTGCGGATTAGAGACAATGTATGGAAACGCTTGGCCCATCCCAGCACCTGCAGGTGATTCATTCACATTTGTCCTTTGCTGCGGGCCGGGCACACTTGTGCTGGGGGCTTGAGCTCAGAGAGAATACCTTCTTTGTGCGGATTAGAGACAATGTATGGAAACGCTTGGCCCATCCCAGCACCTGCAGGTGATTCGTTCACATTTGTCAATTGCTGCGGGCCGGGCACACTTGTGCTGGGGGCTTGAGCTCAGAGAGAATACCTTCCACAGAGGGGAAAGTTATCCACGTATGACTGCCATTTCACGTTCAATGGCTCCTGAGCTGTAAGCAAGAGCCCAAGTTGCCTGGTGTCAGAGGAGGAGATGAACTTCTGGCTGGAAGGACCAAGGGAGGCTTCATGGAGGTGATGGCATTTGAGGGGCTTCGTATGATGGGCAGGACTTCAAAAGGGGGTTTACAACTTGGCAGAATTTACCATGTGCTGTTTTACATGGATGGTCTCAGGGAATCCAGGCATTTGAGGGGCTTCGTATGATGGGCAGGACTTCAAAAGGGGGTTTACAACTTGGCAGAACTTACCATGTGCTGTTTTACATGGATGGTCTCAGGGAATCCGTGAAGGGGAGTTTTATGTTTACCATTTTACAGAGGAGGAAGCTGAGCCCCAGAGAGGTTAAGGGACTCACCTGAAGTCACACAGCTAGTAAGGTGGCAGCACCAGGCTTAACTCAATCACACCTGCAGAGTCCCTATTGCCATGTAAGGGAACACTCGCAGGTTCCAGTGTTTAGGATGTGGGTGTCATCTTCGGGGGCCATTATTCAGCCCACCACAGTGATTGCCTGAAGGACGTTGAGATGGGAGCTATCCTGGATTGCCCAGTTGGGCCCAATATAATCCCTCTTTATAAGAGGGAGGAAAGAAGGTCAAAGGGATGACAGAAGCAGAGTGATGCGCTTGGAGACGGAGGAGGGGCCGTGAGCCGAGGAGCACAGCCCCTAGAAGCTGGAGAAGACGAGGAACAGACTGGCCCGGAGCCTCCAGAAGGACGGCAGCCCTGCCAACACCTTGATTTTAGCCCATAAGACTCATTTTGGGTTTCTGGCATCCAGAATGGTGAGAGAATAATGTGAATTAATGAATTTGTGTTGTTTTAAGCCACTCGTTTTGTAGCAATTTGTTACAGCAGCTGCAGGAGGCTGACGCAGCCCCACGGCTCTGCCTGTGTCCTTCCCCGAGGTCTCGCGGCACAGGTCTCACTCATGTCACAGCACTGACCAGGCTGGTCTGTGCACAGCTCCCTGGCTGTCCGAGTCCACCGCAGCTCGCTGTGCTTTTGAAGCTCCCCACCATGCCTCCCCAAAGCCTCATGCAGTACCTTGGACCCAGTAGGCACTTAATAAATGCTGGTCACATGTAAACCAATCTCTGTCTTTATTTTTATTTTCAGCAATTGAGAGGAACAGAATTTCGACAGCAGTAACTGCTGGTTTCTCGGCCCCATGACCTGATCGTAGAACTGGAATCCCAGTGGCCAGCGGAGTGCTGGCCAGAGGTGGGGCAGCCAGCACATGTGGCTGAAGCATGGGGTGGCAGCTCAGGAGGCAGCTCTGACTACCTGTGGCAGCCAGAAAGGCCCACACGACTAGAATCCAGGGTGACCAGATCCCAGCCAGGTGGGCAGCCGGCAGGAGGAGGATGTTTCTGTGGGTCCCAGCTCTGGTCTATTCTTACCACCTCTGTCCACCTGGGGGCATTCTAGCTTTCTGGGCCCTGCAAGGGGAAGGCACCTGGGCACACCTGTAGACAACTGCAGCTCAGGAAGACCCAGAGCAGCTCCCACACTTTGCTGCAGGAGAAAACGTTGATCCAGAAAAGGAAAGTGACTTGCCTGAGGTCACACAGCAAATTCATAAGACTCCTGTCCAGTGCTACCTCCAGGAGACTGGGGATCCGGGCTCGTGGGGCTAGACTCCAGGTGATGGGGCCTCAGGGCAGACTGGCTAGGAGCCGGAGCAGGTGAAGCCTCACTTGAGACTGTGCTGGCTCTCCCGGTGCCGCCGCAAGTCCACCTTGCGCTGGAAGCCCTTGGTGCACAGCTCACAGCTGAAGGGCTTGAAGCCTGTGTGCTTGCGGCTGTGGGTGATGAGGTTGGAGCTCTGGCTGAAGGCCTTCCCACACACCTGGCACTTGTGGGGCTTCTCACCTGTGGGTGGGGTGGGCAGCACAGCAAGGGTGTGGTCAGGGCATCCTCACCAGGCCTGCCGTCCCCACCCTGGCCCACACTCGTTCTCCAAAACTTTACGATGCTTTATCTCATGACCAGCTCACATTCACTTTAGAAAGTAATCGGAAAAGAGAGACAGGTGTAGACAGAACCCAGATCCCCCTCACCCCTCACTGGATGGTGTGCTGGTCAGGGCAGGGACCAGGTCCATCTCATTTATATGTGCATCCCAGAACCCGGCACGGGGCTTGGCACCAAAGAAGCCCTCGGTTAACAGGGAAGAGCGTGTGAATGAGCAATCCACCTGTTAGTCTTCCATCTACTGTTTCCTTCCAGTGTTAGTGACTTAGGCAACACAGGAGGCCAGCCCTTCTCTAGCACACGGCCTTCCTGTTTGTCACTAGATCCCATCCCCTCCTAAATCCGGGGGTCTTTGATGCATCTCACAGTGGGGATGTCCTGAGGCCCGGTGGGCGGCCTGGGCGGCCCCCAGTCCCCCTAGCTCTGGGGGACACAGGCTGGGTGAGGGGCCGGTGGCTCACTCACCAGTGTGGATGTACGTGTGCTTCTTCATGTCTGACTTCTGGTGGAAGCGCTTGCCGCAGAACTGGCAGGGGTAGGGCCGCGTGTCCGAGTGGATGAGCAGGTGGGTGGACAGGGTGGACGAGCGCTTGAAGGCTTTGCCACACATCCGGCACTCAAAGCTGCGCTCCTGCCGGAGGAAACGAGGCCCCGGGGGGTCAGGCGCAGGCGGGGACTCGCGACCTGGGACTGCCAAGCTGGGTGCAGGACTGGACCTGGCTGGGATCCCCTGAGGAACAGGACACTCCGTTGGGGTGGCCTCGAGGACCTAGGGACCCCATTCCTGCCGTCCAGGTGGGACTGAGGATTGGAGCCTGACCAGACACCTGTGGGATTTTTCTTTGTAACCTCCACAGTACCCCACTTAAAATAAGCCTCCATAAATGTTTGTTGATCGACTGATGGATCGAGGTTTCATGGCCATCAACCCAGAGCGGGCTCCTTGAGGCAGGGGTGGTTATAGGATGCACAGTGGTTTAGTTAAGAGTCTGGATTATTGAGGCCCAAATTTGGCTTCTGCCTCTTAGTAGCCATATGATTTTAGGCAAGTCATTTAACCTCCCTGAGACTCAGTTTCCTCATCTGTACATTGGAACAGCAACAGGAACGACATCCAAGGGTCACTGGGAGGATTGGAGGTAGAGAGCTGAGCCAGCACCTGGCACGTGGCATGTGCTCCCAAATGGAAGCTCTCGTGGTCATTCTTGCATTTCCCACCTGATCCTTCACATTTTTACCCAGGTGTTAGTGACCCATGTCAATTTCAGGTGCTGTCCCTGGAATGGAACACTAAGGAAGGGATCCCCGCCTCAGGCAGGGTCGAGTGGGATAAGATGAACATTTAAGCCCAACTCCAAGATTCCAAGAGTTGAGGGTCTCACGGCTGAGGACACCCGCCCTGATCATCCCGGGGCGAGATTGTTTCTGAGGCTCTCAGACATATCGCTGCCCCCGAAATCCCCCCCACAGGGCAAAATCCTCTTCCAATTGCACACGAAACCAACTCAGTCGATCAGAGACTGAAGTGTAAGGGCAGGTGTTGGAGACACAGACCAGGGTGGTAGGGACACTCTACCTCATCAATGAATGGTGATAAAGACCTGTATCACCGTCAGGGGCAGGAGGGAGAGACCCATCCCAGCCCCCAGGCTCCCCAAGGGAAGCACAGAGCAGGAGTGGGAGCTGGGGTCCTGCTCTTGGCTAGCTGCCCACCTGGGAGTGGACGTGTGTGTGCTGCTCCAGGCTGACGGCGTGGCCGAAGGTTTTGCCGCAGACATCACAGGCGAAGGGCCGAGTCCCGCTGTGGGAGCGTCGGACATGCACTTCGAGCCCATGTGGAGTGGAGAACACCTGGGGCAGGGGCAGAGCATGAGGCCGTGGAGGCTGCAGGGAGGGAGACAGGCCTGGGGTCCCACGGCCAGCTCCAAGGATGGGCAAACAGAGAAGGAGCCCTGGATTGCCAGTTCTGCTACTCATGTGCTGTGTGTCCTGGGGAGGTCCCTTTCCCTCTGTGTGGCTCAGTTTCCTGTCTATAAAATGGGAGCTGGGAGAGGGGATGTGGAAGGCCCGTCCTTGCCCCATCTAGAGGCTCAATAGCTTAGCAGTTAAGAGCCAGGAGTTGCAGCACCAAGCCAGGTTTGAATTCTGGTTCTGATATCTCTGCTTGCCATGTGACCTTGGGCAAGTGACAGCCTCTGTGAGCCTTAGCTCTTCCTCTGCCTTCTGGGACTCATGCATGCCATGTGCCTCGCACAGGGCTGGGCACACAGTCAGGGCTCAATGAATGGTGATGAAGATGAAATTCTGGATCCTTGATCCCACCCAGATCCCCAGATGCACAGTGCAGGGAACACCAGCTGGAATACCCGTAGCTGCCAGCGTGCTGGAGAGGGGAGGCCGCACAGGGCCCACGTGCCACCCGCACCCCACTGCCCACCTTGCTGCACTTGACGCAGTGGTATGCGTCCATGCCTGGGGAGTAGTGGAGGCTGAAGTCCAAGGGGGGCTCGGTGCTGGGCACCAGAGGGCTGCCATACAGGCTGACGGAGCGCTCCAGGAAGGCGGACTGCATGGTGGAGGGGGCCTGATGGTAGCTGTGGCTGTAGGATGAGGCCAGGGTGTCCCAGGAGAAGCTGGGCTTGTAGAATGGGGGTGAGTCGGATTCACCATATTGGGGTCGGGACATCACAATGGGGCCCTCTGTGGAGATAGGGACACATGCCTGGTGACTCATTTAAAAGTAGGGGCACGCACTTCCCACCACCCTCCACCACCCATCGCCACCTGAGTAACCTCATGCTGAGGGTTTACTGCTACAGAGCATCTGTGTCCTCACTGCGGCTCCTCGGCTTTTTGAGCCAGAAGCACGACACATGCCTGGTGACTCATTTAAAAGTAGGGGCACGCACTTCCCACCACCCTCCACCACCTGAGTAACCTCATGCTGAAGGTTTACTGCTACAGAGCATCTGTGTCCTCACTGTGGCTCCTCGGCTTTTTGAGCCAGAAGCACCCCCCCCGTCACCCCAGAGTGCCCACCTCACCCACTGCATGGACCTGCCCAGCTGCTTCTCTGGCCAGAAGCCCTCATCGGGAGCAAGCTCCCCGAACAGGAGGGTCCGAGCAGAAGCCAAAGGACCTTGTCAGTCCTTCCTGACTCCACAACCCCAAAGGGGCCCTGCTCCAGGAGCCCATTCACGCCCCCCTCCCCTTGGCACTCGCTGGGGAGCAGCTGGGGTTCCCGGCTGGGTACTTGGTGCTGAGGTCATCCTGCTCAAGCTCTGGTCCGGCTCCAACTCTGGCTCCCGCTTGAGATCTGTCCAGTCCAGGCACTGGTTTGGGAACAACGTGCTGAGGACAGGGCTGTTGCTCGGGACCTGGTCCCTGGCCACTGCAGGGAAACAAGACCATCAGAGTCACCAGCTACAGCTTCTGGGAAGCCTGGAGGGAGCGAGGGAGGGTACTCCCTTCCAGGAGGAGGGGGCCCAGGGAAAGACCCACTCACCGCTGCTTCTGGCTGCCCACACTCAAGGTATCTGACCAGGATGGGTGGGATGAGGAGGCCAGAAGGAGACTCCTGGGGAGAACTCTTGGGCCAGTCTGGGGTTTTCTGAGCACCCCGACTCCTGCCCCAGCTTGGACCTCCTATTAGGCCCCACATGTCAGTAACAGCACCAGCTCCAATTCTGATGCTGTCATCACCCCAAGGGGTCAGAAGAGATGAGAGTATCATTCATTCACTCTCTCCTTTCATTCATTCACTTATTCACTCAACCAACATTTACTGAGCTCCTGCTTCCAGACTTGTTAATTTCAGTTTTTTCACATGTGCATTGTTGCAATTGATTTTTGCAGTTGATCTTTTTTTTTTTGGCAGCTGGCCAGAGGGAGATCTGAACCCTTGACCTTGGTGTTACAAGGCTGTGCTCTAACCAGCTGAGCCAACCGGCCAGACCTTCCTGCTTCCAGAGTTCGATGCCATTTCATCCCCATTACACAGGGCAGAGCCACGGGTACAGCAGGAGGCCAGCCTGGGCTCTGACTCACCAGGCGCGAAGGCAGGAGGCCAGACCACGTCGTGCTCTTGCACGCAGGGCTGGTGGTAGGTGTGAGCTTTCTTGCTCTTCACCAGGAAGGAGCGTGGCATTTTCAGCGTGTGTCCCACACCTACAAGGTAAGAGGGGTGGGAACGGTTAGCAGGGATAAGAGGACAATATCCCCCCATATTTTAGAACCTCCTCCTGAGATCACACAACAACTGTACTGGGTCGAATAATGTCCCCCCAAAGTTCACATCCACCTGGAAACTGGATGTGACCTTATCAGAAACAGAGTTCTGCACATGGATTCAATTTATGATGAGGTCATAGTGGTTTAGGGTGGGATCTAAATCTGTATGACTAGTGTCATATTAGAAGAGAGAAATTCAAACATGGAGACGTAGGCACACACAGAGGGGACACCACGAGATAACAGAAGCGGAGACTGCAGTGATGCTTCTATGAGTCACAAATACCAAGGATGGTGGCAGCCACCAGCAGCTGTAAGAGAGGCATGAAACAGACACTCCCCGGAGACTCCAGAAGGAACCAACCCCGCTGACACCTTGATTTTGGATTTCTAGGCCCCAGAACGGTTAGAGAATAAATTTCTGTTGTTTTTAAGCCACCCAGTTTGTGGTACTTTTTTATTTATTTATTTATTTTTTAAAAGATGACCGGTAAGGGGATCTTAACCCTTGACTTGGTGTTGTCAGCACCACGCTCAGCCAGTGAGCAAACCGGCCATCCCCATATGGGATCCGAACCCGGGGCCTTGGTGTTATCAGCACCACACTCTACCGAGTGAGCCACGGGCCAGCCCCAGTTTGTGGTACTTTTTAATGGCAGCTACAAATCCTAAACTCCCTCACTCCTCCCTTGCCAGAAAACCAGTACATTTAGCCTCTAGAAAGTCCCAGGGTCCACCCACTCCCACTGGCATCTCCAGAGCTGCACAGGAGCAGAGGAGGAAAGAGCAGAGGTCTCCTCGTGTCAAATACTGTGGACCCCACTTCTAGAAAGCTGACTTGAGTCTTGGTGGGACCCACCTTCAGAGGCCATCGAAAGAGGCAGTCTGAGCTTCGGTTTTGGAATCAGAAGCTTGGCTCACCTCCTGTACAATTTGGGGCAAACACTTAACCTCTCTGGGCCTATTTCCTTTCCTATAAGGTGGGACGCCCAGGCTTGCAGGACTGACGAGTGCATCATCCGTGCTGAGTGCCTATCGCTGAAGAGGGGGGTCTGGCTGTGGGGCTGCAGCAAGTGGGGGGAGGGGGACACCTCAATTGCAAGCTGAGAGCTGCTGCAGCCAGAGCAGGGCTGTGCCTTGTCCACAGCCCCAACCGAGAGTCTGGTCCCCAGGGAGGGAGGCGCTGTCTCTCTCTGAGGAGGGGGGAGCTCAGGCCCAAGAGGACCCCACACTCCACCACACCCGGAGGCTTGAGGTTTCACTGTGGATACAGAAAAAGAGGCAGGTGTCCACCAACCCCAGGTGCGGAGGAGTGGGCCGCCCAGCCCAGCACTGTCAGTGACCCCACGGGCCAGGGATGTGGGGGAGGAATCTGAGGACCAAATTGGCCAAGGGACCTGCCCTTGGTCCCAGGTGGGTGTGGGGAGTGGCAGCGCTGGACCATCCTGAGCGCCCCAGAGCTCCTTGCTTCCCTGCAGAGCCCTCCGGGGCAGAGCGTGTCTCCTGGCCCCCATAATAGTTCACATCCCCACATCCCTGAAGGCTCTAGCGTGACAGAGAGCATCTTCCATGCCTCCATGCTCCCTAACCCCCATGCTTTGCCCCCCTGTACTCAGGCAATGCCCATCCCATTCCTGAGACCTCAGAGGAGTCCCCCACCCAACCCCCTCCACCTCCCACCCTCTGGCCAGCTTCCATGCAGAGCCGCGGGAGCGATAGGGCCATGCGAAGGCGGGAACGGACGGGCTTACGGCTGCTTCTGAACAACAACGGCGAGGGCCCGAGTGATAAGGCCTTGGCCGGGGAGCAGGATGGGAGGCAGGAGATTAGAAAAGGCAGGTTGGAGCTCTGCCTTCAGGGCAAGGGCTTCAGGACTCACCCCTACCCCCAGGGGATGGCCCAGAGACAGCTAGAAGATGGACCCCAGCTGTGCCCAGGCCTGCCTGTCCCTGCCCAGAGCCCCGCTGGGGGTCTCAGAGTTTGGGTTGGTGGCTGGAGGAAAGCCCAGGGGGAAGGCAAGCCCAGACCCAGCCCCTCCTTGCTGCAGGGCTTGTCACTGAGCCTCGGTGTCCAGATCTGCTAAATGGGGATCACGATCAAGCACATGGAATTGCTGGGAGCAACAGAGGGCCTTGGGGTGCTGCTGACAGGGGTATGAGGTGCTCCACATGGTGCGAACCATGGATGGCAGTCTCCTGCTCGTCACCCGGCCCATGGCAGGTGCTCTCAAAGGAGGAGCCCTGGACCAGGAGGTCCAGCAGTCCCCAGGGAGCTGAGGACATGCTCAAGGCCCCCCACTCTCTGATCCCTAAATTAAGGGGGTGGGACTTGAAGGCCCCTGGGGTCCCTTCCAGCTGCTGGATTCTCAGCTTTCTGAACAGAAGCTCTCAGGGCTACTCTCCCTGGCAGGCTAGCGGGGCAGCCCACAGCCTTATCTCCCAGGGACACGTCTTCCTCCTCCCGCCTCCCCGGCCAGGGCTCCCCACAGTCCCCTTCCTTTCCTCGTCTAACTCTTCTATTCAGGAACCCCCCTGGGGAGGCTAGACCCCGGGAGGAGGGGAGGAGACCCCTGGGAGCTGGGGGAGGGTGGGGGCCGGGGAGCTGAATTCCCCTCCTGCTTTGTTCTGTGGGGCCTCTGCGGACCATGGTCTGTCTATCAAAAGATGATCTTTTTTTTTTACACGTAATATTTTAGAAAATCAACTAGAGCCAGAGGTATGCACTGAAGCCTCTGGGACAGTCACCAGCAAATTCTTCTTACAGCCAGGGTGTGCTTAGCTTCCCTAACCCTGCCACTGCTGAGAGCTGAGTCCCGCCACTATCCTGTTTTACAGAGGAGGAGCTGAGCTCACGACCCCCAGGGTGGAGCGGAGGCGAGGCAGGACTTCCATCTTTGGGAGCTGATTCAGCGTGGACTGGGTGCCAAGCGCTGGGCAGTGCCCTTCCCAGCATTTTCTCAGTGGAGGAAACTGAGCTGATGTGCTAAGGAGGAAAACAGGGTGGCGTTCGGGGATGGATTCTGAGGCCAGAGGGTAGAAAAGTCAAAGTCCTCTGAATTTCAGTTCTTTCCCAGGTTCCCAAAAGCCCCGCATCAGTTCCTGAAGAGTTGCAGGTGGAGGGCAAGTGAGCCATGGACCTCCCCTGCGGAAGTGCTGCCTTGGGCTCAGAGCCTGAAGTCCTAAGCACCTGCCAAGCACTCGTCACGGACACAGGGAGCAAGGGGTCCCTGTTTCTGGGGCTCTCCAGCTGGAGGAAGGTGATTCTTGGCCTACTCTAGCGATCTTCCGAAGCCCCTTTCCCTTCCCTACCCCCCATATTCTGTCCCCTACACCTGGCAAAGTGACAGGCACAAGCCCCCGAGCTCTCAGTGGGGCCCAAGTGCACCCAGTGAACTTCCTTTTGGTTCCTGTTAGGCGAGTGTTTTTCAAAAAAGAGAAAACAGGAACCAATCACCTATACTGTAGTTAATTAACAACCACTTGGTTTTGATTCACATGAACCCGTTCTAGGAGCTGAGAGCCGAGATTGTGAAAGAAGCTCAGGGTTTCTTCATAAACAGGCCGTGATGCTATCGGACCTCCGGAAAGAGGCCCACTGTTAACATCTCTTCATAAACCTCCAATCCTGATAGAGGGTCCCCTGACCCTGACTCAGAATCTCAGTCATTGCTTCTTGAAGGGGTTGGCCCTGCACCCAGGTGGGGTCCAGCACCTCAACTTCCAGGTGCAGTCAGGTCACCAGGCCTGTGATTTTCATGTAAGGAGGCTCCTTTGCCTCCTATGGGGGTGAGTCTGATTTTGTGACCTTGAGCTGGGGACCACATCAGCTGCCAGACTGGAGTTTGGTTTTCCTATCTCTCAAAAGGGACGGTTGGGCTAAGAGATTTCTATACTTCCCTTTGCTCTAAAATCCCATGTCCAATTCATTGAACTTCAGCAAAGATTTTGTGACCTTGAGCTGGGGACCACATCAGCTGCCAGACTGGAGTTTGGTTTTCCTATCGCTCAAAAGGGACGGTTGGGCTAAGAGATTTCTATACTTCCCTTTGCTCTAAAATCCCATGTCCAATTCATTGAACTTCAGCAAAGGACCAACCTACCTTGACTAAGAAACTAGTCACTCGGGTTCCCTTTTGGGGAGGGTTGGGTAAGACTCAGTTGATTCTCGGTGTCAGCTAGAGGACGCTTTTGACTTCCTTTATGTTTAAAGACTCAGAGGATGCTGGCCAGTTAGCTCACTTGGTTAGAACACAGCCTTGTGACACCAAGGCCAAGGGTTCCTGACACCGAGGTCAAGGGCTGGGATCCCCATACCGGCTGCCATAAAAAAAAATACTTTGGGGTGGGGGGAGTAACAAAACCTTTCCATGTAGGAGATGGGGAAATAAGCCCAGGTCCTTTTAGGGGGCCCAGCTGAAACTAGTCATTATTTCTACTTGAGCTTTAGGAGTTCTTAAACATCTACTCCTAAGTTCAGAGAATACAGTGTCAAAAGCAAGTGAATCCACTTCTGGGTCTACACCCAAAAGCATTGAAAGCAGGTCTTGAAGAGACGTTTGCACACCCCCATGTTCACAGCAGCACTGCTCACGCTAGCCAAAGGTGGAAGCACCCGAGTGTCCACTGACGGACGAGTTGCTAGACAAATGTGGTCTATGCACACAGTGGAATATTATTCAGCCTTACAAAGAAGGAAGTCCTGACACACGCTACAACACGGATGGCCTTGGAAGTCATTATGCCAAGTGAAGTAAGCCAGTCACAAAAGGACAAATGTATGATTCTATATATGAGCGCCTAGAATAGGCAAATTCATCAAGACTGAGATGGATTAGAGGTTACCAGGGGCAGGGTAGGGGGTAGGGGGAATGGGGAATTACTGTTTGATAGGTATGGAGTTTCAGTCTTACAAGATGAA